TCAGCGTCCGTGCCATGCCCGAGGACTTCCCCTCCCTCGATGCCATTTTCGAGGACCCGACCGTGGCGAAGAAATACGTGCCGGTCAGCGCCCGGAAGTTATGGGGGCAGTGCTTGGCAGGGGCCTTGTCTGAAGTGGCCCAGCATGGAGACGAACGGGCTTGGCTGGAGCTCTTGGTGCTCCCGAAGGCGGTCTTGCGGACAGCAGTGCGGGGGGGAAAGAAAAACCGGAAAAAGTGCGAAAGCGAGATAAAGGAGCTTTGCCGGGCTTGGTTGGAAGGGCATCGAGGATCGCTGTGGCGGACGGCTCGGAGGGGATCGGGGGCGGGGGGGAGCAAGGAGTTCTCCGAGGAGCAGAAGGAGTCTAGGGCCGTGGAGTTGCTACGAGAGTCTTTGCTGCAGAAAGCGCGCGGCGCAATCGCCGGCCAGCCCCCAGCCAAAGTGACGACCGCCATCGTGGAGGAGATGCGTGAGAAGCACCCGCAGCCCCGTGAGGGCGAGGCCACGAGGATGGCGCACCTCTGGCTTATCCACGCGGCGGCGGCGGCTCAGGTGGAAGGCGACGTGGTGGTCAAATCTGTCCGGAGCTTTTCGCGAGGCGCCGCGGGGGGCCCGTCGGGACTCCGCCCACAGCGCATCAAGGACGCTTTGGTCCCCAGGTGGACGGATGAGATCCAGCGGCAGCTCGCGGCTGTGGTGAATGCGCTGTCTCGCGGTGAGGCCCCTCAGACCGTCCAGCCCTGGCTGTGCGGCGCTGCGCTGTCGGCCCTGCCTAAGCCGGACGGGAGCCGCCGGCCTGTGGCCGCGGGCTAGACGATCCGGCGCGTCGTGGGCAAGTGTTTAGCCTCGGGCGCGAAGGACGACCTTGGCGAAGTGTTCGGCGCTTCCCAGCTCGGCGTGGGCACGAAGTTGGGTTGTGAGGCCGTCGTTCACACCGTCCGCGCGTGGCTCTCGCTCAACTCGGCGTGCACGGACAAGTGCATTGTTACGCTCGACCTCAGCAATGCCTTCAACGCGGTCGACAGGTCGGCGGTTTTGGCCGCGACCCAGAGGTGGCGCCCTTCCTGGGCACCATGGGCGGACCTATGCTACCGGAACAGCAGTGACCTGCGGCTGGGGACGCGAGCAAATCCAGAGCGAGAGGGGGATACAGCAGGGGGGCCCCCTGGGCCCGGCGCTCTTCAGCTTCGCAATGCACGAGCATGTCCCGGCTGCCCGGGCGGCTGTCGACGCCATGTTCCCAGGCGAACTTGAGTTGTGCGTATTTTACTTGGATGATGGCGTCGCGGGGGAACAGCTCGGGCCGTGTCGGCCTTCGGCGGCCAGCTCAAACTTCGTTTGGCCGGGATCGGCTTGGAGCTGGCGCCCTCGAAATGCGAGGTTGTCCCGGCCGCCAGCCAGCACCAGTTGCCCACGTATGCGTTCCCGGGGTTCACGTGGCACGAGGATGGCAATTTCAAACTCCTTGGCGCGGCCTTCGGGTCCGAGGCCTTCTGCACCGCTCACGCGCTCAAGAGGAATGGTAAGGCATCGGCCCTGCTCGCCCAGTTGCAGGACGTGGACCACTGTCAGGGGGGGCTGCTGATGCTGCGGGCCTGTGCGGGGTTCTGCAAGCTCGCCTACTCTGCCAGAGTGGTCCCTCCCCGCCTGCATCTTGAGGCCCTCAGGCTTTTCTCGCTGGACCTGCGGAGCGGCCTGGAGGTCCTGGCGGAGGCGGCGCTCGCGGACCACGCGTGGATGCAGGCGCAGCTGAGTATCGCGAATGGCGGCCTCGGGCTGCGTGATGCAGCGGCGCACGCCCCAGCGGCATGCGTCTCGTCTGTCTGGTCGTGCCGGGGCCTCTGCGCGCGTATCGACTCCAACTTCGACGTCAATTGCGATGGCGGCCATTTCGCGGCGGCACTCGCAGCTCTCAGGGGGAGCTGCTTGGAGGCGGCCAGCTTGCACCCGCCAGATGGCGCTGTCCAGCAGAGGGAGCTGTCGGCCCTCGTCGACGGCCAACTGAAGGCACAGCTCAGGACGGAGGCACGGGCCGAGGGGTCACGACTCGCTCACTTTTCCTTGGTCTCGTTGCCAGGGGCTGGCGCGTGGCTGACGGCCCCCCCAGTGGACGACGGGAGGGAAATCGAGGCGGCGTTGTTCAAGGTCGCTCTCCGGCGGCGCTTGCGGCTGCCGGTGGTGCCGGCTGACGCCTGCCGCCCATGCTGCGGTGAGGTGTTCGGCTCATTCGGGGGCCACGCCTTGACGTGCTGCTGTAAAGGCGATCGCGCGGTGAGGCACAACGCCATTCGCGACGTGGTCTTCGGCGAAGCGGTTCTCGCGGGGACCGCGGCAGTGCGCGAGAAGGCGGGCCTCCTACCGGCCAGGCCTTCCGAAGACGGCCTCGGGCAATCCGAGTGTCTTCGCGGGCCTGCGGACATTTGGCTGCCGCGGGTCTTGGGGGCAGCAGGCGAGGCGCTTGACTTCGCCTGCACCTCGGGACTTCGCAGTGACTTCTTGGAGAGGTCCGCCGTCGATGGGGGGGAGGTCTTCCCGGCCTACGAGCACTTCAAGCGCACCTTCAAGAACGCAGACGTTGAGTGCTCGACGGCTGGATTCAAGTTCGCGCCCATGGCTCTGGAGTCCCATGGTGGTGGCTGGCGCCCCTTGGCCCGCAGCGTCCTCGACAGGTTCGCGAAGGCCCAGTCGGCGGCATGGCGCGAAGGTCAGGAGCCAGCTTCCCTCCGAATTGCCCAGCGCATATCGTGCACCCTGCAGAGGGATAGCGCGCGGGCAGTTTTGAGGAGGCTCGTTCCTCCAGCCACGCTCCCTGCCAGCAGCGGGTGGGGTGCGCCTGAACCCGAGGGCGTCGAGTAGTTACGCTTCCGCGCCCTCCTCCTCGCCTCCTCCCCCCTCCTCTCCTTTCCTCCGCCCCCCCGGAGTCGAAATTGTGTACGTAGCCTTTTTCTTCGCGTTTGCACTGCAGTGGTCATGTGGGCGCCCAGACTTGACAAGCAGTCGGGCGATGACCCCCGCGGCCAGTCAGCCAGCACTGTTGCCCATTTGTCCAGCCCCAGGTTGCGCGCACCGGCTCGCCTATTGCTGGTTGGCGCGCCTCTCCTCCCCGACTTCCTTCTGCATTAGCGGGCCGTAATTCGTGACATTTTCGTTGCGTGCCCCCGTTTTTGTATCAGTTTGTCGCTTCTGGCACCCAGCGGGGTGCGATTTATTTCTCCGGCAAGCATCCCGAGCCGCGTGCAACGTGTCTGGCATATGTTCCATTCGTGTGCTCTGAGATCCCTGCCAGCTCCGCTGGTGGCGCAAGTGGCCCACAGGTCCCACATGTCCATGGATCGCTAATCCATGTTTGCGCGAGTCCCCAAAAAAATCGGGGGCCTTCTGGGTGCCTTTCGGTTGCCTCTTGGAGGCCTCTTGGGGCTTCTCGGGGCGGTCTTGGAGCTCTTTTGGGGGCCTATTAGTGTCATCTTGAAGGCGGTCGTTCAAAAGAGGGGGGGTCCTCGATGTCTGCCCCTTCGGGAGCCACGATCCTTGTGATGGGGTGTCAAAAATTGGCCCTCCCGCTGGCCAAAAAATGACCTTCTGACACATCGGTCCCTCTCCCCCCCCCAAAAAACCTTATAGAGGGGAGGGGGAAGGTCACCCTCCTCGAAGGGAAGTGGGGTTGTGGATGACAAAACGATCACCTGTGAACCTCTTATCGCCCAAAGGGGTGGTGGGATTTCTCACATGCGTTTCGCGGACCTCGCGTGGCTCGTTTTTCCAGCCGTAATGATTTTACAGTCGTGCTATCGTGTCATGCGCGTACGCACACATTTTTTTTTATGTTGCCAAGTCTAGCCGGCATCTAATCTCATAAAATATGATGGTGAGGATGACGATGATGGTGATGGTGGTGATGATGATGCTGATGATGATTATGATATGGTGATGCTGTTGATGTGGATGTTGATGATGACGATGATGGCTAGAGTTTTTTCGCTTCGTCCTGCGCCCTCTTCGTCCTGTGCTCACTTCGTCTTGGCCCTTCTCGTTTCTGCCAGCCGAAGCCGGCGTCGCTTTGTTTGGGCCCGCCTCCTCCAACTATTCTCGGGGATGCGTAAGACCCGGATTTGCCAGGACTCGGGTTCGCCATGGTTTTTGACGACCGCGATTCGGATTTTGACGAGTGGGAGTTTCGTGGGATGTTTGCAGCGGGAGGCCTCGTCAAAATGCAGGCTCGGCCTCGTCATTTTTTTGACGACCTCGTCGTCGATTTCCGAGTCCCCTGTACCCGGGTCTTACGCCCCCCTGATATTCGTCCCGATCTCCCGATCCCCTTCCTCTGCTCGGCCTTCCTGCCTCGACCGTCCATGTCCGACCCGGCCCGTTTTTTTCTCCGAGCTCTATTCCGCCGTCACGCCCCGCCCTGGTCCGCTTCAGGCGCCGTGGTGCGCGTGCTGTGTCGGGCGACGAAATCTATACATATCCACTGCTCCCTGACCATGCCCATCTTGAACCCAGGAGCTGTGTATGCGCCCTCCTGGCCAAGCCAGGAGGGCGTGGCGTATACACCGCTGCGGGGTTGAGGATGGGCCTGGCCTGGGAGCAGTGGATATGTATAGATTTCGTTGCCCTATTGTGGTGCATGCGAGCACTGTGGTGTACACAGGCGCTGTGGTGCAGATCGCCACCCACATGCTGCTCCTGGTTGGCCCCGGTCATCCCCAGGCGTTCCTGGACGCCGGCGGCGCGGAACGTAACGTCACTTGGGGGGGGGGGGGGGGGCCGGGCCACGGACGGCCGGTATCGCGGAACATAAAAGACAGGTTCATCTTTTTCTTTTTCTTCTTCTTTGTCCTCCTCCCCTCTTCCTCCTCCTCCCCCCCCTCCTCCTCTTCCTGCCCCTTTGCCTCCTCCCCCCTCCCTTCCCCCCTTCTCCCCCTTCCCTCGCCCCCCTCCCGCTCCGGTTCCTCCCGATGGTAGCCCTGCGCGCCTCGCAGCCCTCCTGGGCTGCGAGGGGAGGCGGCGGACGCGAAGCCAGCGGCGCAGCAGGTGGAGAAGCCCGCGCCGACGGGGCGGGCGGGGAGGGCAGGCTGCGTGCGCGGCTCTGTCGAGGAGTGGAGGTCGGCCACGCGCAGAGGGCCTCCTCCTCCTCCTCCTCCTCCTCCTCGTCCTCCCCTCCTCCTCCTCCCCTCCTCCTCCTCCTCCTCCTCCTCCCTCCTCCTCCTCCTCCTCCTCCTCCCTCCTCCTCCTCCTCCTCCTCCTCCTCCTCCTCCTCCTCCTCTCTCCTCCCCTCCTCTCCTCCCTCCTCCTCCTCCTCCTCCTCCTCCCCCTCCCCCCTCCCCCCTCCCCCCTGCTTCTTAGAAGGCGCGGGCCCTTTCTAGAAATGTAATGGCGGCGCCTTCTCAGAGCCGGCCTCCCTCGCCTCCCCCCCTCCCCCTTATCCCCTGGTGCGCGCGGCCAGGGAGGTCCACGAGCTGAGCTGCGCGCGCGCTCGCTCCTTCGGTGAACTCCCCGCCTCGGGAAAGTGAGTCCTCGTCAGGGCCAGGTGAAAATCAGCCGCAGAGCTTGTTGCAGAGGCAAGGAGGCCTAAAGGGGATCGCCGTCCATTCGTGTAGCTGCTTGTGAGAGCTTCGAGAACAACTATGCGGCGCCGAAGTGAGAACGCGACGTTGAAAAAATCAGGAGGGGAAAAAACACACAGACACAATTATTCGTCGATTCCCAGAAAATATGCGAAATTATGGGAAGTGGGGGGGAAGACAGAAACCCAGAAAATATGGGAAAATATGGGGAATCTTTTGATTTGTGTGTATTTATTTGTGTGTTTGTGGGCCCCTTCAAAAAAGAGCTACATATTTAAAGAAACCAGAAAAGACAAGGAACCGCCCTTCCATCTCTAGATGTGGTATGGTGTCGTCTGTGCGCGTGCTGTCGAATCTGATAAAATCGGGCTCTGCGCCATGTCTGCCGATCTTTTCTAGCTGTCCTTCTTCGATGCGCGACCTCGTCCATGCGCGATTATGGCGATGTATGGGCGCGCAACGTTGGCAGTACAAGCAGTTCTTTTGCGCGTGTTTTGTTTTTTCGTTCAAGTCGCTTGTTCTCCTCGCTCTCCTCCCCCCCTGATCGCGTTCATGCTCTTTATGCCTACCCCCCGCCATCGAGGGCTTCATGCGCCTCGTTTTTACGGTGTTCCACTTACCTCTCTCCTGCGTATGTTGCAATTTCCGATGCGTGAGCTCCCCTATCCCACTGAGGTTCGCTGTCCGCGGGGGGCAGATTAGCGGACGGATGGGCGTGTCTCTCTCCTCTGCCCTTATTTGTTCGGGTCTTGTCCCGTTTTGGCATGGCCCGTTCGTGAGCGGCTTTGCCTGGGCTGGACCATGCCTGCGGTTACCCATTTGGTTTTTTTTCCGTTTTTGCACGGCCCTTTCGCGAAACCCAGGGCAACCTGGAGGCAAGCAGGACGTTTCTTGGCATGGGCCCCCACCGCATGGTAGCACGATGGCTCTATGCCTGTGGTTACGCCTGGCAATGGCGCGACGCCGCACAGCTTGCGGCGGCCTTGTGTGATGTGACCTGGGTCCGTGGGACGCTCGGGGGGAGCGGGCGCAGAAGCCGCTTGGAGCTTGCTTCTGTACCCTCTGGCGTGTGACGGTCGTTACCCAGGCCTGTCGGGCGACGAATCTATACCTATCCATTGCTCCCTGGCCAGGCCCATCCTGAACCCACGAGCTGTGTACACGCGCTCCTGGCCAAGCCAGGGAGCAATGGATAGGTATGGATTTCGTCGCCCCAGCCCAAGCCCCACTCCCCCGATATTCCCCCCAGGAAATGGAAACGAGCGCACGTGGGCGGGGGGGGGGCGCTGGACCCCCCCTACATGCTGGTGCTCGCAGCGCACCAACGCCCCGGCGTGCCCCACCCCGCCCTAGAGTGACGGTTACCCGCCTCCCCCCCTCTTGGGTAACGACCGTCATCAAGAATTTCATCTTTTGAGAGTCTGCGGCGCGTGAGCGTGGGCAGGCCTTCTCAGAAGGCGGCGGGGCTTCCCAGAAGCCCTCTGGCCTTCTGAGAAGCAGTCTCTGTCCCAGACATGCGATGTCCTGATTTTTTCAGGACGGCGGCCCTGGAAGTCCCGACCCTTCCCCCCGGACCGATTCTTCGTCCTGAGCCGTTTTTTGACGGCTCCGAGGCCCGGCGAGGGCCTCCCCTGGGCCGAACATAGCCAAAATGTTCCCGTCGCGATTTTTTAACGACGCGATCGTGTCTTGGGTTCTGTCTTCGGAGAAGGCTCAGACATTTTTTTGTTAAAGAAGGTGCGAAGCCTCCCGAGCCTCCTGCAGAGGCCCGCCTCCTCTGCCTCCCCCCCTTGCGCTCGCCGCCAGGCCCTGGCGGTCGTCTGCGTGCAGACGGCCGCCAGGGCCTCTTTGATGCTGTCCCATCCCTCCATCCCTCCTCCTCCTCCTCCTCCTCCTCCTCCTCCTCCTCTGCATCCTCCTCCTCCTCCTCCTCCTCCTCCTCTGCATCCTCCCACTCCCCCCCTGCCCTGCGCGCGCCGCCGGGTCTGGCCTCCGGCTCAAGCCTTCGGGCCTCCTGGGCCTCTGGCGGCCGCTCGGAACGCTCCAGGCACCCTTCGAGACGAGCTCGGCGAGGCGCAGTTGGAGGTGGAGGAGGAGGAGGAGGAGGAGGAGGAGCTGGCACGCACCCCGAGGCTGGGAACCTCCGCGAACGTCCGAGAGCGCTCGGAAGTCTCCGCGAACCGAGGCAGCCTTTCTCGGCTCTCCGCCGAGGGAGGCTCTCTCTCCCCAGACCCCCGTCGTCATGATTTTTTTTATCACAGCGTCGGCCTCAGAGGTCTGGACCCCTTCCCCGGGACAGGCTCTTCATCCCGAGCTGTTCTTTGACGCATCCGAGGCCCGGGAAGGGCCCCCAGGGGAACGAATGTAGCGACAAACCTCCCGCTGCGATATTTCACGACGCGAGGGGGTCTGGGGCTCTCTCGCCACTCTTCTCCCGGAGGGCCCGGCCCGGGCCCGGGGCAGGCCGGCGGTGACCGTGGTGCGGAAGGTCGCCCCGGCCCCCGCTGCCCCTGCGGCGGCCGCGACCTTGCCGCCGGGCGCGCCGAAGCCCGCCGGCAAGGTCGCGAAGGACTGTCGTCGCGTCCCGGTGGCGAAGACGGGGCGAATAGCCCAGGGGCGTCAGACTCAGAACCCCCTCGCGGTGTGACAAAAATCACGACGAAAGGTTTTTCGCTATTGTCGGCTTCTGGAGGCCTTTACCAGGCCTCGGGACCGTCAAACATCGAAACAGGAAGAAAAACCGGTCCCCACGCAGGGGTCGAGACCTCTGGGGGTCGACGTCATGAGCAAATCCTGACGTCGGGGGTCTGGGGAAGAGGGAAAGGTACCGGTTTTGCTGCCCTTGCCTCGTTTTTCGGCCTTCTCGGCCTCCTGGATGGCCCTCGTCGCCACCGCTGGATTCGCCTCGAGATTTTGGTCAGAGCGCACCCCGGGAGAGGTTTGGGGAGTGGCGGCATCGGCACCTTTTGGTTCCTCCAGGGCGTCCAGACATGGATTATCGGCGCCCCTGGATACACGTATTCCCCCGTCCTGGGCAATTCGTCGCCTCCGCTGGTCCTCGTCCGCGGTCACTCGTCCCGAAGAAGACAAAAACTCTGGGCCTCCCAGATGGGGTTCGAGCAGATGGGGTCGGGGAGTCGGGCCGCATCGCCGATTCATCGGCGATGCGGCTCGGTGTGGAGCCCGACTTTCTCCACGCCGACGTCGCCGATGCTGCATCGGCGATGCACTGGCGATGCATTGGCGATGCGGCGCGATCCTCCGCCTCCATCTACTCGGACCCCATTCGGGTGGCCTCTATCGTCTTCGAAAAAACTACATAAACGTAAATTGTCGAAGCTCCGCGCGGATTTCTTGGATTGGCGCTGGGCCCCCCTGGCGACGCCCCCAGCACCGCCACTGGCGCGCTCCGCACTCCGGGCTCTGAACCCCTTCCCAGGCCTTGGGATCGTCAATCAAACGATCCGCACGAGAAAAACGGTTGGGGAAGTGGTCCAGACTTTTAGGGGTTCACGCCGTAACAAAAATCAGGGCATTGAAGTTCTTGGTTTGCGTCCCTGCTAGTATTTTTACTTTTGCGAAGAAAGGGGGCGACGACAATGACGACGGCAATGACGACGGCAATGACGAAAAACATTCAAAACTTGGGGGGATAATCATTGATTTTACCCTCTCGGGGTTGTCTTGGGAGTGCTCTTGGGGCTCTCTTGGGCCTCTTGGGGGCCTCCGGGGGGCTTCATTGGCGCCTCTTGGGGGGCCTCTTGGGGCAGAAGGCTCGAAATATTGGTTGGTCTTCCCGCTCTCGGGATCCTCTTGGGGGCCTCTTGGGGGTGTCTTGGGGCCGTCTTGGGCGTCTTGGGGCCGCCTTGGGCTGTTTTATTGATCTTTCGGAGCCTCTTGGACCGTCTTGGGTTGATGTTTGTGGCTTCCTGGCCCGTCTTGGAGCGTCGGAAACACGAGAAGGAGAAGGAGGAGACAGAAACTCGTAACAGCTAAATGGGCATCGTTGATTCTTGTCTTCTAGAGCCCGTGTGGCTCTTCTTGGAACTCTGTTGGGGCATCTTGGGGGCTTTTGCGGATGTCTTGGGTATCTTGGACTCTAAAGCGAGCTGAGGGACGTAAGGAGTGGAAGCGAGCGTGCGCCCGCGGCCGCGTCGGCTCAAGCGGCCGGCCGTCCAAATATGACTGTGCCGCACTGCGAGGCACACAATCGCTATCGAGACCAAAAGGATCTTCCTATTGCTTAAGATGGCACATCCTCTCCTATTGGGACTATCGCTACTACGGTACAACAGAGCAGGAGCTTGGCTTCGCATGAGGCGAAGCTGCTGGCTGGGCCTCCCAACCCCCTTCAAACTTGGTAGCGGAGCTGGCCTATGGTGGTCAGCTCTAGCTCTACTCCTCACCCTCGACGGCACTATCTGGTGGACTACGGACATGGTGGAACATCAGGGTGGAATGGGTTTGCGCGGAGGAATGTATATAGCTACGGAATATCGCGAGGACACTTGCAGCGATACATCTGCTCAAGCGGAGATCTCTTGCTTACATCCTACTTCCGTGCGCTTCTACACTCTTGAAGTCCACCCGCCTACTCCATCCAATTGGAAATTGCTTCGAATAGATAATGCATGGGGGCATGCGATACGACATATCGCCGCCTCCAACCCCACGCAGACTTGAGACTACCCAACGGAAGTTCCAACCGACTACGTCCGACCACGACCTACGAGGCCATTGGATTCGTGTTACTATCTTTGGGCTCACATGGGTCGCTATCGGGTGTGCGGTAGGACATATGCGTGGCGGAGACGACACAAGAACGACCGGCCCTTATTGGGACCCAGCCGGTCAAGTACCTTTTCGCGAATTCATCCGCGAAGTACATGCCTGGATCAACGTGACCACAGGCAATATGACGCCCTCGCAGCAGGCTGTAGCTCTGCAGCGAGGTTTGCGAGGTCTCGCGCGGACCATAGCCATGAGAGTCCCTCCAGCAGTTATCCGTAAGGGCTTCGCCCCCTGCCGCCGGCCCCCTCTCTCGGATAATGGGCCATGGAAGAGCTAAGTCATGAGGCTTTGGCGCTGTCGTGCAGCAGTATCGGAACTTCATGCGAGGCCGATTCGCAATCGGCAAAACCAGCTGATCACAAGAGGGGTTACCACACAGGGCGATTGGTAAGACGTGTATGGTTTACGAGCTTGGTTGCCACACCTTGGGATTAAAGGGCCGAGGGGTACTCGCAGTTTGGGTCTACCGCGCCTTGCGATGGATGTGCGTGAGGGGTGGCACCGAATTTCAGAAATGTGGCAAATCCCTTGTGTTTTTGGACCCTGACCCCGCGGATCTGCGTGAGGGGTGGCACCGAATTTCAGAAATGTGGCAAATCCCTTGTGTTTTTGGACCCTGACCCCGCGGATCTGCGTGAGGGGTGGCACCGAATTTCAGAAATGTGGCAAATCCCATGTGTTTTTGGACCCTGACCCCGCGGATCTGCGTGAGGGGTGGCACCGAATTTCAAAAATGTGGCAAATCCCATGTGTTTTTGGACCCTGACCCCGCGGATCTGCGTGAGGGGTGTCGATTTCGAGCTCCCCCGGCAATTCAGACAACGCGCCCAGGTGGTGCTAAAAATCTGGTTTGGGCCTCCCTCCCCTCGCGCGGTCAATCGACTAGTTGCAGTAACCAGCAAGAAGCAGAACTGTAACACTGGAAACTACAAACTACAACTGGTACAGGAAACTGCGAATCACGGGCCTGCAGCCTGGTGGCCCCGCAAGGGGGCCGGCGGATTAACTTTGGCGTCAACATAGGCGGTCGCCATACTGACGGCGTCACCTACATTATGTTTCTCTTAAGCACGAATTTCGGGAACTTAGAAGAGGAGCGCCAACTCAACTCTGGTGCGGCTCTCATTGATTTCCGAGTCCATGCGTGAGAACGTGTTGACCAGACGTTCGCACGGTTTGAGATAGCCCGCTGTGAAGCTGAAGCAGCCGGTTTCAACATCCCCAACTTCCAAATCCTAGCAGTGATTTTTTTCAGAGCTTTTTGGAGTGAGGGCATCGCGTGCACAACAACTCCTGCAGCCTCTAAACCACCATATGCCGAGAGACCAACAACAATGTGACGCTCTACTTGAACGTGTGAGGTCATATGCACACATTGCTGAGAGAGTCTGGGCACTGTTGGTGGTATCTTTAGTCGCAGCCACCGAGACCTTCCACGTGGAGGCTAACGCGGGGCAGCCTGCCAACAACGTCTGGAATGATGATCCACAACCAACTGAGACCACTACACTGTTGGCTCAGAATGGTGGAACGGCCTCGGGGTTGCAAGACTCCTGGGCCAGGCTTCGGGGGCCGCCTGACGCGGCGTCCCCCGTGCACGCCATGGCCATAATGGGCTCAGCGGGGCAGCCCGCCGAGTCCGATCTCGACTCAGGTGCTGGTGCAGATGCGTTTCCAGATGACGAAGCTGCCGCCCTTGATTACTTTGATATGCCTACATACCTTACTGAAGAGCAACGAGCTCAATGGTTATTTTTAGGCCACCAAAAACACGAGCGTCGCTGGCGGAGATTTCTGAAGAAACCGGTCCGAAAGGTAAGTCGTATCGCACGACGATCACTTAAATGGGGGAGGCAAAGGTCGAAGTACAGGTAAAGGTAAGCGTCGGCGGTTGCGTGGTAGAGGCAGATTGGCAGTCTTAGCATCCCTGACGGGACCTCAGTCTGAAGAAATGTTTTTAGGTGTTGGCAGAAACCGCAGGCATGCATCAGGCAAAGGCAAAGGACGACGGGGAAACCCAGGGGATGCCAAAGGTAAAACTATGGAGTGCGACATATGCCACAGTACACAGCATTTCTGACGCGAATGCCCTCAAGGTGATGGAAGAGGCAGGGGTCAGTCAATACATCTGGCTCAAACAGACTCCGACATGCAGTATTTTGACTGGGGGTCACTTTTAGGTGACCATGCCGATAGCTCAGCCATAATTGTTCATTTCTTCATGGCTGCCAGATATCTCAGCGCCAGTGTGGCCCTCGAGGCTTGCGCCGGCGAGCTGTTCGAGGGGGTGTTCTCTTGCCACGACGACATCGATTTGGCAGAATGGCTGGGCGTGCCCATCGCGGGGCAGCCCGCAGATGTCGAATTTGTCGAGAACTTCCACATGCCCGCCGAAGGAGATGTTGACGTGGCGGGGGCACCCGCGGATTCAGAAGCTACCGTTCCTGCGACAGGCGAAGAAATACAGGCGATGCTCTATCCTCGGGTGATAGGAAATCCGACAGACATGGAATTAATTGATGATGATCCTCTGCGGGGCAACCCGCGAGACGCTGGTGATTTGTCTGAGCGTATTCCATATGAGCTTGGTCATAATGGAGAATTTCAATATACTTTTGTTGCTTCAGATAGGTCTATGAGCCGCCAGGAGCGATCGGCAAGTCGGAAGAAGTATCGCGACGACGAAGAGGACGAATAACGGAAAGGTAGCGACCGCGTGATGCGTCGCGGTCGTGTCCCCAGTCGCTCGCCTGACCGTGCGCGTGCCCGCTCCAGTGGCGCTCGCTCTAGCGGTCTTCAGCGTCCTCATCCTCCTGATGCGGGGGCCCCACAGGCCCCGCCATGGCAAGCTAGTAGACCTGGCGCTCCCCCGAGGAGGGAGGGCGCCCGCGGGGGCGCCCGCCTCGAGATGATCAACCGCGAGAAGAATATCTAGATGGTGGAATGCAGCGCCTTGTTGCTTACGCGGGAGCTGGATTGGCTCGTCAGTGCAGACCCCCAGACAAAATGCAATGCTGGTTGGATCAGGGTTGGTCTGGGCGTCAGATCCGGCACTGGCATTCTCTTCGCAGTATTAAACGAGACGAGGACGGCGAGATCATTCGCTCAGAAAGAACCGGGCCCGTGAAGTCACGAGATACGATGGTCACGCGCAACATCAAAAGAGCTATCAGCGAGGAACGGAAGATTTTTCGAGGCGTTTGTTGCTCGTGTTTCCATCGTGCCGACCACGGGCTTGGCTGCCCCATGAGACGCCCATCAAGAAGCCCGAACTTTGAAAAGGGCACCGTGGGTTCGGTCGCGTGGTGATGGTCGGGGTTACTGTGCCGATCCTAGCGCAACGCCATATGAGGAGCAGTTGACGGAGAACGATTCCGACCGCGCCACAGCTCATGAAATAGCCCGAACAAGCCTCAGATGGAATAACTTGCTACCTACTCAGCATCCGGCGCAGTTCAATCGCGATTGGCGCGCAGGGAAACCTGCTGATCACAATTCAGAAGAAGACGATCAACAAGAAGCTGATGATATGGCTGCAGAAGTTGACCCCGCGGACGCGGCCCGTGAAGGGTGCGCGTCGGGCGATTCTGGCATTGCGGACGCCGCGTGTCAGACGAGCGCTCCGATCGATCCCAAGTACGTTGTTACTGAGGAGATGGATCTTTCCCCTGAGAAGCGGATTGCCTACCGTGCTGAATGTGTGGGCTGGATAAAAACAAGCAGAGTCGAAAGATGCAGCGCTACTGCGCCTTCTTGCAGGAAAATACAAGATCACTAGTAAGAACCTGGCCCTCAGGGCGCCAGATGGTCGCGATTTGAACCCTGACCGAGGTCCCGTGCGATATGGGCCAGGGGCGCCGGCAGGGGCCACGGCTAAGGCAGCTCCAAAGCCGAGGCCAGAGGCGATCATCGATATCCCACCATCTTCGGATTCATCAAGTCCATCGCTCGGTCCTGATCAGTTCAGACTTAGAAGAAAGGAGAGGAAGAGCCCAGATGATCCTAATCCTGGTGACAGCAAACAGCAGCGATCTGCGGGGCAACCTGCTGGCCGACGTCGATCCAGAGGACTGGCAGCGGCCGCCGCAGCATTTGCATTTCAAGGCACCAGTACCCCTACTCCAAAGGAGCCTGTGCCACGTCGCGGCCCCGCGCCAGGTCGGGCGCAGAGGACAGCGTGGGCGCCCGCGCTGGAAGGGCGAGCAAGGGATGCTTCCTCAACGAGGCGTGGTACTGAAAAGCTACTGGCCACCTCGTCGAAGGCACCAGGAATGGCTCCCAAAGATAAGACTGTCGAGTCCTACAATACCAAGGAGAAGACACGCCAGGACTTCGACATCAGTGCCTCGACAGGAACTCCTCGGGCACCCAGGGGAACTTCTGGCGCTGCCATATCGGCGGCGAGCGTGCCGGCACCTGCCGCCGCAGTGGCAGCTCAGCGTCCAGCGGGGCAACCTGCTCAGAGTTCTGCATGGCAACCTGCCCTCGCTTTGGAGATGCCAGTGGAATGCCGAGAGTTCTGGAACAAGTTTCGCACGTCCAATCGTGGGAAGATCAACCCAGCATATCATCCCCAGATTGATGACGGGTCTGATCGATGCATGGTGGTGCAGTGCGACCTCGTGGACACTGCCGTTCATCATGACCAGGGCGCACGTGCGCGCCAGACAGTGCGCAGACATTCTGCGTAAACGCCCAGCACTCACGCGCGATTCTGGAATGGACTATCTGACTGGGACCCTTATACCAAACAGTGTCAGAACGCCAAGGTTCAGCTATGATAAGCAACGCCAGATTTCAGAGTGGCTTACGACTGCCCTTCGTCGCAAACCTTTTCATAAAGGTCGTCTCTCTGACAGCTTTCTGCGGGAAGTACCATCCTGCGATGAGTGCGACGGACGGGCAGAGCTGTCGCAGCTGCTCAACAACTGGCCAGCTGAAGGATATGAGAGTTATCATCACAATCACCTGGAGACTGTGCGCCATAAGCTCAAGGATCAACACTGGGCGTGCCAGGCTTTAGCTGTGCTGGACCTTATTGGCATGGTTGATCACGCTGGGATGCAGAAGAACACGCTGCAGCTCAAGAAGATGGAATACTCCTCCGAGACGCACGACACGTACTTCATCCGTCCAAGTAACGGACACAGCAGCCCTGGAATAAGGTGCCCTGAATCATTGTACATGAGAATTCCGGACTTGACCGTTCCAGGTGCACCTTGTTATTTCAGTCATGGAAGTCAATGGGAACATATCCCTACTCTACTTTGTCGGATTGTCATGCCGCGCCGACGACGCCAGCAAAAAGAGGGGCAAACAGTTTGTACATGGTTGCCCATACCTTCCCGGTGATACTCGAATCCAGTCCGGTCTGCGCATTGATTCCGAGGTGTTTGTCATGGTTAGCTTGAAAAACCTGCTTCGGGACAACATGCCGATTTGGCGTTCAGCACATGACATCATCATGTCAGCAGGCCGTGGCGGCAGGATTCCCCCGACCCATATCGTCCAGCTAGTAGGTACTCTGCCCAACCAACATTGCATGTACAATCGCGTGGGACAAATAGTATATGGGTCAATCCCTCATACTTGCGAGGTAGCAACCAGCCGTATCAAGGTGGTAATATTTCTATCGAAAAGATGTACGGATACCGGAACGACGCATCATCTTTGAAATAGTGGTTCATCCCACAGACCCCCTACAATGTGAAGTGTCCCGGCCCGGCTCCCATTCAGGAAGTCGAGTGTTCAACAGTGCTTATGATGCAGGATACGTTTCAAGCGGGGACACTTGCGGGGGGATCTGATGGATCATGGGTACAGGTTCAGAACGCAGATGTAACAGGTATTGCGTCAAGTGGCATCTGGAGGGAAGGGGTGGGGGGACGAGAGCGGAAGAGGAGGAGGAGGAGGACGATGAGGAAGAGGAGGAAAAATAGGGGGAAAATGGGGAAGAGGAGCAGGCAAGGGATGAGGAGGAGGACGCGACATTTTCGGGGATCTCACCGCAAAGCGGTGGGTGGGGGTGGGGGTTGCTGGTGGTGGTGGCGGCGGCGGTGGTGGTGGTGGTGGAGGTGATGGTATTGGTGGTGGTGGTGGTGGTGATTGTGTGTGATGATGGTGATCATGATGGTGATGATGATGATGGTGCTGTTGATGCTGATGCTGATTCTGCTGATGATGATGGTGATGAAAATGATGATGCTGATGATGGTGATGATGATGTTGATGATAATGCTGCTGCTGAAGCTGATGTTGATGCTGATGTTGATGATGATGATGACAATGCAGCTGATGATGATAATGCTGATGATGATGCTGATGATTGTGATGCTGATGATGCTGATGATGCTGATGATGATGCTGATGCTGATGATGCTGACGGTGGTGATGATGATGCCCACGATGATGCTGTTAATGATGTTGATGTTGATGAGGTTGATGGTGATGATGATGCAGTTGATGATGATGCTGATGCTGATGATGCTGACGATGCTGAGGATGCTGAGGATGCTGATGCTGATGATGCTGATGATGCTGATGATGATGCTGATGATGCTGATACTGATGACGATGATGACGATGATGCTGATTATGATGAGGATCATGATGATGCAGCTGATGCTGGTTATGATGATGCTGATGACGATGATACTGATGATGCTGATTATCATGATGATGTCGATAATGATGATGCTGATGATGATGCTGATGATGGTGATGATGATGCTGACGCTGGCGATGATGTGGATGTTGTCGCTGCTGATGATGATGATGATATTTGGTGTTGGCCAAGATGACGAGGTTGCTGTTGGTGATGATGATGGTGGTGGTGGTGATGATGATGATGTTATGGATGTTGTTGCCGCTGTTGTTGAGGATGGCGAGTGCGATGGTGATGGTCATGATGATGGTAAGGTCGCTACTATCAAGAATCGATAGCCGGACCGAAATACAAGATCGAGATCGGTTCGGGGAGGGTACCCTAATGTTTTTCGTGTTTGGCGGATGTTCTTGAGTATCATTCGGAGGGTGCCCTTGGATGCTATGTGGGTTTTGGCCGGTGGAGGGTCTCATGCTCTTGAGGGATGTTCTTCTTGCCTAGGTCCGACCGTAGTCGGCGATGATTCATGATGGTGATGCTGCTACTGCTGCTGATGATGATGATGCCGATGCTGATGCTGATGCTGATGGTCATGCTGCTGCTGCTGATGCTGCTGCTGCTGCTGATGATGATGATGATGATGGTGTTGCTTGTGATGATGATGGTGACATTGATGATCGCCACCGAGTGGTCACGTTGGTGGTGATGCTGATGTTGACGTTGGGAAACGCCAGCACCTGTAACTAGGGGGAGAGGCGGGCATGAATGAGGAGCAGCAGGAGAAGGTCTGAGGGAGGACGGCGAGACGGGCTGGTGGTGGTGGGGGATGAGGAGGAGGAAAAGAAAAGGAGAAGGAGGCGGAGTCGCCGACAGGAGTTGGAGGCAGACCTTGACGACTTCTTCGGGGACAAGCCGAAGAGTTCTCCCCCGGCGGTCAAGCCAGGCCGCGCGTCCAGAGGAGGGAGGGGAGGAGGCGGAAAGTGTGGGGGGAGGGGAGAAGGAAAGATGAGGAAGGAGGAGCGAGTTTTAATGATAATGGTGATGATGGTGGTGATGATGAAGATGAAGATGAACATGAATATGAATATTAATCTGAGCATGATGCTGATGATGATTCTGATGATGATGATGATGATGATGCTGATGAATATGATGCTGATGCTGATGCTGATGATGCTGCTGATGATGATGCGGATGCTGATGCTGCTGCTGCTGCTGCTGCTGCTGATGATGATGATGATGATGATGATGATGTTGACGATGATTTCCCATGGCCAAAGATGAAGTATTGTCGTCCCTTCTGGTGCGCATTGTGTTTTTCAATGAAAGTTCTTTTCCTGGGGCTCGCACCCCATTTTACACAAGGGAAGAGTTTGGGTCTCAGATTGCGCCCTTAGCACCTGGTTTACAGCAGCAGCTGCTCTCGCCTGGCACTTCCCCATAATTTATTCAAGAATCGCGCCCTCGCAAGGGATTTCCGCACCATTTATACAAGACTCGTGCTCTCGCGTGGGACTTCCTCACAATTTATTCAGACGCCGCGACCTCGACACGCAGGAATCACGCTCTCGCTCTGGCCTTTGCCATGATTTACTTTGGAAGTCGCGCTATCGCTCGAGACTTCCTCCCAATTCATGCGCGACTCACGCTTCGTCAACCCACCCGCAAAACCTAGCCGCCTGGGCCCGCCTTCCCGACCCGCCAGTTAGGGTCTACCCGCCCGATCAACCCGTCTGATTCTGCCACGCGTTTTCTGCTCCTGCTAGTCTCTCTCTCGTGCTCCATCCTTAACCCTCCCCCTTCCATTCGTCCTTTCTTCGCCTGCCTAGGGGCGCTGCGCTAAATACACGCGGCAGGCAAGGAAGATATACCCCCAAGGAGGTACGATCGAAGACGAAGTGGGCGGGTACCGAGGGCCTGTGATATAAGTATTCAATGGCACGCGGGCAGATATGAGCGAACAGTCTTAAAATGATCGATGTTGTTGATGATGTTGTTGTGGTTGTTCTTGTTGTCGACGTCGACGTCGTCGTTGCTGTTGTTGTTGCTGTTGCTCTTGCTGTTGCTGTTCATGTTGTCGCGGTTGATTATATTGTTGTTCTTGGTCTTGTTCGTGTTGTTGTTATTGTTGTTCATGTTGTTGTTGTTGTTGTTTCATTTCTGGAGACAAGTGTTGTTAATCCCCGTAATTGTTGGTGATCCCCCCTGCCCGGTAACCGTTGTATTTTTCCGATTGGAGTGCTTCTCCTGGGGCTCACACCTGGAGTTACTTTACAAGGTAAAGTAAGGTGTCACCAAGCTATGCCCCTGGCCCCCAGGTTACGAAAACAGCGGCTATCGCTTGATACATCCTCGCAACGTATTCCCAATTCGCGTTTTCGCGCGGGACGTCTCAATTTATGAAGGAATCGCGCTTTCGCCTGGGACTTCCTTACAATGTATTCAGACGCCGCGCCCTCGACACGCGGGAATCACGCTCTCGCTGTGGATTTCCTCACGATTTACATGTTGAATCGCGATATCGCTCAAGACTTCCTCGCGATTTATGCAGGACGCACGCTTCAGTAACCTGGCCGCTTGTGCCCGCCTTCCCGACCCGCTCGCTAGGGTCTACCCGCCCGATCTGCCCGTCTGGTTCTGCCACGTGTTTTCTGCTTCTAGCCCCCCTCCTGCTCTTCTCTCTCGTGCTCCATCTTCCTCCCTCTCCCTGTTCCTTCCTTCCATCCGTCCGCTGTTCCCCTGCCTTAGGGGCTGCACGAAATATACATCTCAGGTAAGAAAGACATGCCCCTTCATAGTGGCTCTTTCTTCGGAGACGAAAAAGGGGCGCGCGCCGAAATCCATTCCAGACGAAGTTGAGGTTTTTCTTAGAGTTTCAGTGTGCAGGCGCGCCCTGCCGCGCGGTGGTTCTCAGACGCACCTTAGAGCGTGCTGACGTATAATGCGAGGCATTCACATTGCACGTTGCGCATGCTATCGCGTGCAAATCACGCATGGCTTGAGCTACTTCGCAGACGCTTTCTGGCGAGGCCCTTCGAGGGCCCTCTCAGGGCCCGCCGGGGTCGCCGACTGCCGCGAGCTTCCGGCAGCCATTGTCGACAGTTGGCAAAAGCAACGTCGCCGAAATGGTCGCCGAAAGAGCCGTCGAAAGGGCCGCCGAGATTGCCGCCGAAGGAGCCGCCGAAAGAGCCGTCGGAAGGGCCGCCAGCATTGCCGCCGAAATTGCCGCCGAAATTGCCGCCGAAATCGCCGCCGAAATTGCCGCCGAACTTGCCGCCGAAATTGTCGCCGAAATTGCCGCCGAAATTCCATCTGGTTCCGCCGAGAAAAGACCGAGTTTGACCTTGGCTGTGGCTCTATGCCTGTGTCTGCGGCGTCATCGCGCTTACTGGAACAGCGATTTCGCTTGCGACGGGGCAATGAAAATTTCGGCGGCTGAATATCGGCGGCGATTTCGGCGGCTGAATTCCGGCGGCTATTTTGGCGGAGTTCGCAATTATTTCGGCGGCAATTTCGGCGGCAATTTCGGCGGCAAGTTCGGCGGCAATTTCGGCGGCAATTTCGGCGGCGATTTCGGCGGCAATTTCGGCGGCAATTTCGGCGGCGATTTCGGCGACGATTTCGGCGGCCCTTTCGGCGACCCTCCTGGCGGCCCTTTCAAGGACCATTTCGGTTTTTTTGCTTTTGACAGCTGTCGACGAATGCTGCTGGGAGTTCGCGGCGCTCAGCTTCGGTAAAGAGTCGATGCGCGGCGACGCAGACTGACCTGAACTCAGCCCGACGATGATTGTAACATTTGTTATCTTGTGGTTTTGGCGGTGATGATGGCGACGGCCGCGGTAATGTTTGGTTCAACATGGATGCTCGTCAGGGGGCATTACAGGCTGGCCTACGCGCCCAGCACTGCGTGCTTTCAAACAAGAAAAATTTGTCGCGCAACTCCTTCGGAATTCGGCGGCTATTTGGGGGGCCGTGGTGGTTCCAAAGGGTTGTCTTCGGTGAGCCCCTAAGGAGATACGGTTGAAGACGAAGAGGGCGGGTATCGAGGGTGGATACATACACACACATATATATATACATATATATATATATACATGTATCGGTATGCGGAATGGCACGCGATCTGACAAGAGCGAACCGTCTCAAAATGATCGTTGTTGCTTTTGCTGCAGTGGAACTCTCACTATTGAAGGAAAACTGATCCCCCCCACTCTGGTGACCATTGCGTTTTTCAAGTGAAGTGCTCCCCCCAGGGCTCGCACCCGGTTTTTAGCAGGGAACGTCACGGGGCTCAAACTGGGCCCCTGGCCCCCGGATTACAACAACAATTGCTCCCGCCTGACACGTCCTTACACTTTATTCCCAAATCACGCTCTCGCGTGGGACTTCCTTGCAATTTATTCAGACGATGCGTCCCTCGGCGCTCAGGAATCACGCTCTCGCCTTGGTTTGTCTCTTGATTTACTTGGGATTCGCGCTTTCGCTCGAGACTTCCTCGCGATTCATGCAGGATCCACGCTTCAGCAACTCGCCCGCCCGACCTGGTCGCCTGGCCCCGCCTTCCCGACCTGCCCGCTATGGGTCTACCCATCCGATCTGCCTGTCTGGTTCTACCACTTGTTTTCTGCTCCTTGCCACCCTCCTGGTAATTTCTCTCGCGCTCCATGTTTCTCCCTCCTCCTTGCACCCGTCCTCTCTTCCCTTCTTCTAGGGGCTGCATTAAATGTACACGGCACGTAAGGAAGATATACACCAAAAGGGGCTACGATCGAAAACGTCTAGGGCGGGTGCCGAGGGTTTGGGATATGTATTTGTTGGCACGTGAGCAGATCGGAGCGAACAGTCTTAACATGATTGTTGTTGTGGTTGTTATTGTTGTGGTTGTGATTGTTGTTGCTATTATTGTTGTCGTCGTTGCTGTTGTTGTTGGTGTCGTTGTCGTTGTCGTTGTCGTTGTCGTTGTTGTTGTTGTTGTTGTTGTGGTTGCTGGTGTTTTTGCTCCCGCTGTAACTGTTATCGTTTTTGGTCTTGTTCGTGAGGCCGTTGTTGCTGTTGGTGTTGCTGTTGGTTTTGCTGCTTCTGTTGTCGGTGTTGTTGTTGTTGTTGAACATTATTAATTCTAAAGAATAATTATTGTTGGGACCCCTGGTGCGCGGCCCCCCTGCGCCGCCTAGGCCGCAGCTACATTTTCATCATTTTCGTGAGGAAGCCTCAGGTAAAACGATGTGATCCAGATCCGGTTGTTTTGTTCCCCCCCGCTTTCCCTTGCAAAAAACACTATAAAATGACATTTCTTGTTCTAATATAATCAAATTTCAAGAATCCCTTGCAAAAAATAAGGTAAAGTGGACATTCGCGCGCGCAAGACGAAATCCTTCCAAAAGCTTAGTGTTCGGAGCGATTTTAACATAAAAACATCAAAAAACCAATGGTTTTTCAACAAAAAAATGTCAAAATCTCATCCCGCGCGCTCTTGCGGATTCGTAGGAAACCCAACACTTTTTAAACATTTCTGTCAAACGGGCTTTTGCGAGCAACTTTTTCGAACTTCTGCGACAACGGTTGCGCACCTGCCAGGGCCATCATCCCTGTCAAATAATACCATGCGGGACACATTCGTTTTTTCTTCGCGCGCGCACGCCGTCGTCGTCGGCCGCGGGGCCCTGAATAGTAGCCACGGTCGTCCGCATGCCACGAAGTGAAGTGTCCGAACGTCATAGGGCGGGAAGCTGGGTGTGGGTGGTGGCGAAGAGTCGTTTGGAAATTTGGTAGAGCTTGAACCGGCCCCCCCACAAAGTGGGGGTATTGCCCGCCTCCTATGAAAACCCTGGCACTGGTGAGAACGGAGTGTCCCCACGTGCTAGTAATTGTTGTTGTTGTTGTTGTTGTTGTGGTTATTGTTGTTGTTGTTGCTGCTGAACTCTCATTCGGAAGAATAATTAT